CCGACGCCCTCTCTGCTGCATGCCCAAAGAGGCCATAGCACTGTCAATGTGAGCGCAAGTGTTAGGTTGCAATGCAGGGATCTGCGAGTTTAGTGCAAAAACGCATGATCGCACCGGCAAGCTTGGTGCGTTCCAGCCTGGTTTACTGATAATCGATGGACCTTGCATGTTAATGAGTGATGGTACCTCTCGGAAAAAGAAACTGTGACCTGAATGGCCCTTGAAGATTTAGCGCACGAACATCGAACAAACTGTGAGTGCCAACTAATGACATATTGCTCAGAGTCAGAGGGCTCGGCAAAGCTGCGCCCAGCATTTAGGAACATTTCAGCAACAGTACTGATATAAGATTTTTATACAGAATGCCAAAGCAGATCCGTTGTTCCTGATATTAAGCTAAAAAGCTCTTTTTTTTTTTGATTCGAAGTTTACAATTTTCAAAATAATATGCTTTCTGCTGCTGTTTAAGATAGAACTGAGATCTTCCGTACCATATGTTATCATATGCTGTTTACGGATCAATGTAGTTTTTCGTTTCCACACAGTTTTCACCTTGTACTACTCGGCAAAAACTGGGCAAATGGATGCGGTTTTCAGCTTGGTACTCAAGGAGTTCAAAACTTCTGTTACACTGAACAGTACTAGGCTACCCAAAAGCCCGACACTCGTTGGTAACTAAGGGCTGTTAAATGACATAAGTTAGAACTCCAACAGTATTTAAGAAGGCAGAGGGACAGATATTTCTCAGTCGAGTCCCGTGCATTGATGCATCAGCGCTGAGATGTTCCGAGGACTAATCCTTTTTGCCGACAGTAATAGCGGAGGCTACAATTCACGGTAACTTCTTATTTTTGTAATTAATTTAGGAGTTCTGCCCCGAATGCAAAATCTAGCTCCCCTGATGAAAACTGTTTTCTCCTTCCTGCGTACCCAGTGGAAGGAATGTTCAGCTGCGTACACAGAGAAGACAGTTTCGGATACTTGAAAAGGCAGTCGCTCTACGGCTTGCAGTTAGATGGCTAACCAAGTGCTTCGAATCATTTGACATGCCCCTGCTGTTCACAGTGAGATTAGTTTGGTTACTGAATTTTTTATAACTTCCGAATTCGTATTTATCCAGCAGGATCTAAAAACTGGAGAACGAACTGGAGGGCGTGACAAACTTGATCAATAAGGCGTCTCTCGACCGAGTGATCTTGAATTTAACTCGTTCCTGTAAGGAATCCATTACACTGTTAACCGTAAAATTGACTTTTTGTAAATAAAATGCAAATTTTGTAAATTTCGAGTAGATGTTTGACTATAAAAGCTCAAAGCGAACAGAATTTTTTATTGCTGTTTATAATTTCCTCACTTAAGGCCGTATCTGTGTGCGAGGGAGCTCTGAGTGTCAGTGGAGGAGGATCGGACGATGGTGAGGCTATGCAGTATGAGGAACGATTGAGTTTTTCCCAAATGTTTTTCAATTTTACTTATCGTTCGTGTGCTTAATTCGTGCTGCACACAACTCACAGATAACGTCAGCAGTACAATTAAATGCACTCCGAGAAGTCAGATGGTTATTTTTCAGGATGTATTCACATCACTGTTTTAGGTAACTCCATTCCGAGACGAATTATCGTAACACAAAGGCATAACGACATTAGAATTTCGGAATCGAGCTAAAAACTTCATCCAGCATTTTTGCAGGAAGCAAAGTTGCCGGACTGGCAGTGCGAAAGATGCAACTTGTATTCACCGCGAACATCCGCAGCCCTCTATTTGTGGTGCGCGACGTGCGAAAAAGTATTCTGCGCCCTATGCATCGGTATCCAAGAACATTCGCGCTTGTGTACTTTGTCATTAGTTTTCTTGCTAACTACATGTTTATCAGCATACATGCACTACAGCTATGCCGCACATGCACCAGTACCCCATTTATGTGGTCTGTTTGTGCATGGGATAGCAGAGAAATGTGGGAATTTCTGCACAGCGGATGGATGTGGGGCCATCTGCACGAGATATCGACAAACTGTGGACGACATGTAGAATGAACTGTATTGAATGCCTGAAAATTCTGTGTGATATATCTGATATTCCTGTACGGGATACGTGTAGAATATTCATAAATAACGCATGGGATACCTCAGGGATGATCTAATGTACTGCACTGGATATTTGTGCTTTATGCAGAAATGTCATGATACGCAAAAGAGGACAGGAAAATTAAATTCGTCAAAGTTCGTTTACCACGCAAAAACCATATGTAAAACCCAGAGCATGTGAAAAAATGAAAAAAAAAAAAATGCATTTCTGCCCCGAAGCAGTTCTGGCGCAACCTACACGCATACAAAAACGAACATCTTTCCCCTATACACTTCTGCTACCCTCGGTGTATTGAGAGACGAACGCCAATCCCCCGCATCAATCTTAGTAAGTTGCACGAATAAGCAAACAAGCATGGTCCCTTCCCCGAAGCGCATTTCTCGTAATCTGAACGTATTAATAACGAAGTTCAACCCTCCACCTTTCCCCGCAAAGTACTTCTAGTAGCCTAGACGCATAAACAAATCAACATCGACATCTCTGGAGCACTTCTGCCATCTTCTTCGACATATAAATGAATGACCGTCTCTTCTTGTCTCTCAAACGCACTTCAGGCGCGTATCTTAACAAATACCATTTCTACCGCACACCCCTCTCTCCCCATTCCTCCCAAACAACACTCGGTGAGTGAACAATATGCAATACAAGCGCAATACAACGACGCGATACGCAAGAATAAGAGGACTCCCTACCTCATTGGGCGCCTGCGCCCAGCCATCCATTACACCTGCCGTTTGTAGCAACGCAACTGCCTTTTCGTTTTTGCACTGGTTCCCGCGTATTACAGACGTAAAATAAATGCATTATACCGGATAGGCCGTTCCTTCAAGTGTTTGCTGACCTGCACATATACAGAAGCTATACTTTATATCTGTTGACGCTTGATTTGTACGACATGCCAACAGCATAACTCAATTATCAATTCCGTATATTTCTTTATGGGACAGCCAGGCTTCTTGCAGGCGAATGCGATCCTGAGACACATTCGTGGGCTCCAGCAAGTGAAATTATTTACCGCCTGAAATCTGATATAGCTTACACAACTGCCCAAATGGTCAACGTAAGTTTTGCCCGGTATTTTTTTGGATATCAGTTTTTATGCGTTTTGCACTATGTAACAGCGACACAAAACGCATGTTGTTACGCCCCTGTTTGTCTGTGTGTGTATGTGTATTTCCGTGTCCAAATGCATTTTGTCCCGCAGTTTCAACTCAGGAACCACAAAAGCTGGGAGGGCGAAATTCTAGTAGAAAGTTTCCTGCCCACATACGACCCAAAGCAAATAAAATTCAGCCTTCCTGCGCACTGGGTACCATGTACGGCCCCGCAAAAGTTTTGGCGGAAGAAATTGTTATCTTAGGAACTACAAAAGCCAAGAAGATGAAATTTCAAAATAATGCCCCCTGCTCATGTACGACCCTGCAGATTTAAATTCAGCTATCCCCTGCGTTTGCTGTCACGTGCGGCCCCGTGAAAATTTTGGCGGGAAAACTTCCTCTGCCTACGCAAAGTTCTCAGAAATTCAAATTTAATTAACAAGTATGCCAAGGTCTCATATAACTTTTGGCGCGAAAGTTCCCGGAAACCAAAAAACACTGGGGTTGAAATTTTGGAAGGATGCCCACCGCCCAATTTTTCAAATTCAGCTTTCGCGCAGGTTTATGTTTCACGCGCCGGCAAGTGAAAGTTTTAGTGGAAAATTTCGCAGTTTAGGAATCGAACAAAGTATCGACTTTTTTTTGCACAGACCAAACTATAAAATAGTAAAAGTCCTTATCAGGCAAACGTTCGCTGGACTGAACTGCGCAAAACGCTTGATTGCTCCAGCTACTCTGATGCGCATCGCTATTCATTGTTTAGCGCTTAAAATAGTAACTTTAAACTGCCCCTGTCTTATGTAACTAGGAACAGTTAGCTAATTATGCAGCGTCAAAGTCGTCAAAACTGGATATGACGTGTTACAAATTTTATTGTGAGTACGTGGCGAAAAAACCAAAGTAATTCTTTCGTCTCCTGAAATCAACTCCTAATAAAGGGATTTTAGGTTTCTTCTCCCTGTGTTGTCTATTTGAGTCTATGTTTGGAGAAACTTCGTCTCCTAGCTTTACGGAAAGGAATTATGACGGCAAACAAGTGCGAGGATATGACATCACCATAACGCGTTTTTTGCGCGATTTAGCAATACTTTCAAAAACTTTCAAAACTCGACTGAGAATATCAGTCCAGTTGAAAAAAACAACATTTAACCAAAAGGGCACTCGGAGGCTAAATGTTAGAAGGGATGTGCCGCTGACTCAATATTTATTGCGTATTATAGGCTGTCGGACGCCTAAAAATTTCTGGCGAGGAGACGATGAGAACACTTCAGGGGCTCGATCGCACCTTAAAGGAACTGGAGAATCAGTGCCAGGTTGTTCGGATCTTATATAAAATGTTGTAAAGACTGTGGTTTTCAAGTTATAATTTTTTACTCTCTAATTTTCACTGAACCAGTCTAGGGCATCGCAGAGGCGACAAAAGTGCTCTTAAATGCGTTGAAGGCGCAACTAAATGAGGCAGATTTGCGTCGTGCACAAATAGACGAGCATGCACCATTCAGTTCATCAGTGGTAGACAAACTTCGGGCAGAAATCCAGGCGAATAAGCATTTGGCAAATGAAGCATCTACAATGATTCTAAATTTCAACAAAGTCGTCACACAGTGTAAGTGGCAGTTTGTTCATACCAACTTCTCTGACTTTTTTTCCCTCTGATGGACATAGATCCATTGCTAGCTTGAGTGATAGTGCATTCATGAACACGAAGAATTGTTGATCGAGAAACGCTCAAGAAGTGGGTTGGAAATGACTTAGATCTTTGGCACTCTACGTTAGTCAACAAGCTGTAGAGGATGAATCGGCGGACTCAGTCGCAGCTTCGCAGCAATGGGTACATCATCTTAAAGGGAAAACAGATAGGGGTTACAGGAAAGGCTAGCGCCAGCATATCACAAAGACCAATATGGTTATATGTTTCGAAAGCAAATTTGGTTTACATCAACCTGAGCTCAGAACTGAAAATTTAGTGAAAAGAGGAGCCAACAGGCGCAGGCGCTCATTAGCTACGTGAAACAGCGCATAATGATAATGATTTTCCAATATCCCTTCTCAAGAAAGGTGGCAGAATTTTAGATGCATGGCATTTGAAATTCTGATATCCTCCACTCCGAGAAGCAATTATTTTTTTAAAATTGGTCTCCCTCAAGACATAAAACTGCCTTACGCGGTCAAGTACAATTTGAAAGTGTAGAGAGCATGTAGGTTCTAATCCCAAACTACATTCTAATTATCTGAAAAACTGATTTTTGGAGGTTTAAAGATGGTTCTTGGTAATATTCCAATTATTGAATTAATGCAGCCAGCTAACTTTCGTGCAGTTTAGAAAATCGGCCAGACGGAAGCGAAGATATGTTGGGCCAAATCGAACCGTGTCTCAGTAATTAACTTATTTAGAATAACCAAACTGGTAGACCTCACCGTTCACACTAACGCTCCACATCTACGCTCTGCCTCACTTCCTTCTGAACACATTATAAGTCAGTGATTAACAGAACTGACAAAATCGTGTCAGTAAACCGGATCCATTTTTATTTCTGGACTCATAGGTGAACATAGAATATGCTCACAAGGTTTCAGTTCCCTGGCTTTTGTTGTTGTGAAATCGAATAAGTGGAACAAACACACATGCACACACCCAAATACATGTAAACATGCACTCACTAAAGCACGTTTTTTCTTAATGTTTGCGAGAACACAAAATGAGTAACATTCTGCAGCTGATGGCATTTGCAAGGATGCGCGCATTTTGATGAATTCGCTTGTCTTCGAGGAAAAGGCTAACAATCGCAAAACAACCGTGCCGAAGATGGCGCCTAACGGTGAAGCTTCCGGCGACATATCCGATGACGATTCGTATGACGATACGGTTTGCGAGGCTACACGTCATGCAGTGAACAAAGGCGATCACAAAGAAGTCACCGAATGACATATTCATCATTTTTACTTCTGTTTGTTGCGACATCAAACTGTTCTAATATCACAATACGGATGCATATCACTAGATCTGTAAACGAAAGATAATCACATCTGTCTTTAGGAAATCGGTGAAGCTGATCTGGATGAAATGGAGATAGAACCGGAAACTGAATGAGCCGAAGCGGGGTGAATGCATATCATGCAACTAACTGTGATAACATTTACTGATTGTGAGTGAAGTAGCTACCGTGTTGCTTGTCGATATTAACAAAATCCCTCGCGCTGAAATGCTGTTGATCGATTACAATAACAAGCTTTGCAAGTAGACTGAACTGAGGAAAAATTCATTTGCGAAGTTGCCTTGGCTCATTTCAGTCTTCCTCTCTTTATCTTCTGTGCTCCAGTCCGCTATGGATTTATAAATTGACTCGGAATCTCAGTTTTGCAAATTGACTTATGAACCAAAACTTTTTCATCGCATCGGTTATGACGTTCAACCGATGAAAAACCCAAGCTGAAAAGCACCAGGCTTGCTGGTGCGATCATGCGTTTTTGCATTAAACTTGAAGTAATTAGATTAACTGCGTGAATGTTTGTTGATTCACACCTGCCGTGTGCGCTCAATACCGTAAGTCATCGTAAATTTGTATAACGAAAATAAACAATTTCCGTTTAGCGGTCGTTTTCTGAAAATGACCTACCTGTTCGACGAGCAATTTCCCCGCCAAAAAGTCCAAGTGCCCGTACACGAGAACCACGCGTACCTGGAGGCTGAATTTGAAACCTTTAAACTGTATCTGGACAGGGAATATTCTCCTAAAATTTCAGCTTTCCAATTTTTTAGGATCCAGAGTGCAAGTTTCTCGCCAAAACTTTCACTGGGTCGTGCATGACCTAGGGGTATAATTGGGAGTTGAGTTTGAAATCGTTAATTTAGTAAAAATTTTATGTGAAGGGGGGTTGTTTTACGAGTGTGGATCGCTGTGTGGCGTGGTGCGTAGACTGGAGGGCCAATTAGATAAGAAATTTATGCCTTACTGACTACAAGCAGACAACAGCTATAATATACAAGGCGCGATGCTTGGGTTCTGACGACAAAGTGGCCTGCTGAGCAGGAGATTCAACAATGGGACTCCTAGGGGGAATAGTCCTTTCGAGGGGATGAAGAGCTGAGTCGAGTCTGTCAAGTCCACGGTTAGGGTTAGCCGTAATCGTAGCTGGCGTGGCAAGGTTGATGAGGTCGTCGTTGTCGAGAAGAAGAACTGAGACCTAGAAGAAAGGAGAAGAGGTTTAAAAAGGGAGTTGGGACCTGCCCCAAGGGACGATGTAATGATTTGGAAGAATTTGGGAATTTGGGGAAATGGGTGATAAAAGGGATGATAAAGGAAAAGGAAATAGGGGTAGGGGGACCAAAAGAAGATAAGGAAGATGATAAAAGG